CACACACACACACACACACACACACACACACACACACACACACACAACCTCACACACACACACACACACACACAACCTCGAGCACTGCACAAACCGCACGCGCCCACAAACAAACAGACGCACACACCCCCACGTACACACCAGTGACAACGCCGCGAACGCTGTTGCGCCCGCCTGTGATTATCACGTCGCCGACGCAGCAGCAGGCGCCTGGCAGCTGCCCACCCCGCCTGGACAACTGCATCGTTCGCATCTCCAGCTTGTTATTGAGGCCTTGCATGGCCCGAGCGCCCTGATCGATGGATTTGATACACACGCAACATCAAACACAAGCTCACGAGAAGGCTTAGCGCAGCGCTTTTCCGCGTGCGTTGTAAAGTAGAGCACTGCTCAGGCACCTGTCCGGGCTGACGCACGGCCCCCTGTCCTCCAGGCCGCTCGTGTCCCTCCCTGCCCACCATGTGCGATAGAGTGATGCTGCCTGCAGCTCATTGCCCGCTCGCAAGGCAAGCCTCCGAGTGCCCGCAGGCGGTGTGAGGCCTGGTGCAGCAGCCGAGAACGGGCTGCCAGTCACGCGCGCCCCGCGCGCACCTCATCCCGGAGGCCCCACAGCTGGACTGCCCCGGCGGCCAGCCGCTCCTGCACTTCGGTGTCAACCTCCCGCAGCTTTTGCAGCAGCCCCAGCTTGCTGCACGACCTGCGTGGATGCACGGCGTTGCATGTGATGGGAATCGCGTATCCAGGTGAGCGTTGTGCATAATGGGTGTTGCATAGACTGGGCGTGAAATGAGCCGTGCGTGGAATGGGGATCAGTTGAAACGGGCTGCACTTGCAGGATAAGTCGGGGCATGTCCACGGGGACGCACGCAACCACCCTGGCTGGCCAGTGGCCGACCACAACACGCTGGCAGGTGGTATGGATGAGGGCGCAGCGTCCGTGGTGCCAAACAGGCGTCGGAGCCTGGGAAGGCAGGCGCACACTCACTCTCAAACGACGCCAGCTCCCAAACGCGCACGGACACGTGCGAGCACGCACATGCACGCACACACGCACACACACACTCACACACACACATACACACACGCGCGCTCTTGCGCTTCCATGCACTTGTGCAAGCACACACACGCACGCACACATACACATGTACACACACGTGCGCGCACATACACACATACAACGTACCCACCTCATCATCTGAGTCACCAGGTGCATGCCGCCGTCCCTTGGAAAATTCGCCAGCATGAACGTGGCGTGCAGCCGCCACGCCCACGCCGTCGCACCCCACGTCGCGCCGGCCTTGCGGCCGCCGTGTTGCGTGGCGGCGACGACCAAGTTGGTCATCATGCGCTCAACCATCTCGCGGGGCCGTGCCGGCAGTAGCAGGTCTTCTGCGCTGTCTTCGAGGGCTGCGGGCAGGCGCTCGGCGGCGAAAGACCTGCGCGTGCGAGGTGGCGGTGGGGAGGCCGGGCGTGGGCAAGCGCGTCGCGGATGTGCTGGGCTCTGAGGGACTGCGTAGGGGGCAACGGTGCCCTTGGAACGACAGCGCCGAGCTCAGCCAGTTGGTTTTTGCACGGACAAGGAATCACGGGCCGCACCCACCTGGCTGCCGCGTAATCCATCACCTTGCCGCCGGCAAAGACGTCGACCCATCGCTCCTGCAGCGCGCCGGGCGCACCGTCTTGCACCTGCTGCTCGCCGAGCAGCTGCCCCTGCCCCTGCTGCCGCCCCTGCCGCCGCCCCTGCCGCCGCCCCTGCTGCCGCCCCTGCTGCCGCCCCTGCTGCTGCTGTTGATGGTGATGATGCTGCTGCCGATGCTGGCGGAGATCTCCAGGTAACAGTGTGGCGCTCTGTTGCGTCCAAGTCACCCGGGTGACGACGTGGCCGGGCAGGGCCACGAGCTGCGAATTGGGGGGAGGCAGGCAGCGCTAGTGATCGAACAACCACACAGCACCCCCACCTCACAGCATCCGAGGTGCCAAGCTGATGTGCTGGCAACGCAAGACCCAATAAAAACCGCGAACCGGCGGTGGCCGCAGGCAGCCCGCCCGCGGGAGCGCCGAACGCACGGCAGTGAGTCTTGACACAAGCCGGACGCCGCAACCCGCCGGGCCGCGGCGGCCGTGACAGACTCCTTTCTGCGTCACGCGGCGGAACAAAGAGCACGAGGGCGCACGCGCCGCGCGCCACAGGCCCGTGGGTCCGGGAGTGCGTCGCCCTGACGCCCTGATAGTGTACCGCCCCACCTGTACGTCCATGCCGGCTGCGCGGCCGACCGCACAGTGCACGAGCGCCAGCGACATCGGCAGGCCCCTGCCCCGCGCCAGCACGCAGTCCAGCAGGCTGTTTTCGGGGTCGTAGTAAGTAAACCTGTCGCCCCCAAGTCCGAGGCCGTGGCCGGACGGCGGCACGGCGATTGTCGACAGGTCTGGCCCCAGGAGGTCTCTATCACCATCACCGCCCTCCGCTGACCCGCCGCCGCAACCGCCGCCGCCGCCGCCGGCCGCCCTGGAGTTGCCGCCGCCATTGCCCGCGCTCATGGCGCTCGCCGGTGGGCCGGGCCCCGCGGCGGGAGCGGCGGGGCGGCCGTTAGCGGGGGGCGGCGGGTTGAAGAGTAGCTGGTTCAGCAGTTCTAGGGCCTGTTTTGGAGCAGGGTAAAATGTGAACGCCATAAAAGTGATCGACTCTTTTGTTGTCACCCAAAGCCGAGGCCTGAACCCGTCGGGTCTGAACACTTCATACCACAACAGTACCTCCCATCAAAGCGCACTCCGCTGATCCTCTGTCGCCGCCCCCCCCCCCTTCCAGTCAGGCCGAGCCTCGGCCGACCCAGGCCTCAGCAGCGACTGTTCTCCCCCGCTTCCGCCGCGGCGGCGGCCTGCCCCCAGACCCGCGCGCGCCTGTCCCTGCCTGGCGGCGAGGGACACTGCGCCGCACCTCGTCGCTCGCCGGCCCCACGCCGGCCTCCTGCATGCGCCGCTCCAGCTCGCGGCTCAGCGCAGAGAAGAGGGCCCTCATCACGCCCGCGTCAGCCAGGGGATGGTGCACCTGCGCCTGCGGGCCGGCCGGGGCGTTGGGGGCGCGGGGTGGCAAGGGAAGGGGGATGCAGGAGACTCTGGGGACGTTGCCGGCGGCGTGGACGGCTGCGTGCCACGTTGCGCCCCCGCTGCTGATCCAATGACCCCGGTGCAGCTGAGCCGGATGCCTCCGGCGCGACGCTGTGTAACCGCTGACTGTGCGTACGAGGCAGCGCAGACAGTCGAGTGGAAGCACGGATCCGGCGTCCACGACGCCTCAACCTCCGCCCACCCCTTCCCGCATCTTTTGTCAAACCCAGCGCCCCCTCCCGTGAAAACGCATTCAATGGTTTCTCGCCCCGCGATGTGC